TGAGAGCCAAGTTGAGAGGTGAGAGGGCCCCCCTGTACAGATGCAATGTCGTTTCAGTTGTGGAGAGAGCGTGCAACTTCGACAAGTCTAGGTTCCAGGCTTCCAGCTCAAGATGTTGCTTCAGGTATTATTTGACTTTATTTTATTTTTAAGCCATTTTTTGATCAATGCTTGTCAGTCCTTAACAATATATATATATATATATATATATATATATATATATATATATATATATATATATATGCATCAATCACACAACATATGTATGAAACTGCTTGAGGGAAATTGAAGGCTCCGTGCAAATCAAAACTAAACATTGGGGGAAGGTGCGTCATTTGGGCTGGCCCAAGTACTGCAAGATCACTGTTATGGTTCGGAAAGGTTCTAGAACCTTCCTAGACCCTTTTGTTGATAGTTCTTTTCTTTTTCCATTTCCATTTCATTTCATTTCATTTTTTCATGTTTTTTTCCTTATTCTTTTTCGTCTTTATTTTTTTCATTTTGCAAACATTTTTCAGATACTATTTTTTTATTCAATTTATCAAATTTAAAAATGTTCATCAAATTCGAATTTTATTCATCAAAATTCGAAGAATGTTCATTATATATTAAAAATTATGATCAATTTAAAAATTCGCTCATCAAATTAAACTTGTGTTCATCAAATACAAAAAAATCATTTAAATTCAAATATTTTCATTTTTAGAAATTCATGAACAGTTTTTAAATTAGAAAAAAAATCTTGAAATTCATAAACATTTTTCTGAATTTAAAAACATTTTTTTAAAAGTTAGCAACGTTTTTAGAATAAGAAAAAAATATTTTGTGAATAATTTTTAAAATCCACACACTTTTAAATTCGTCAATTTTTTTGTATTTTCTAAAACAATTTGTAAACTATTTTTAAAACTCACTTTTTAAAAATCATGAACATTTTTGTAAATTCCGAGGTTGATTTAAAGAAGAAAAAATGAAAAAGGAAACGACAAAGAAATAATAAAAGAGAAAAACGAAAATGGGCGCCCCTCCACGCACATGGGCCGGCCCTAAATGTTGTGCGGGGGATCAGTGGGTGCGCGTTTCTTAGCTTCACAACGTCCTAAATAAGAGCTCCCATCCATATAGAGGCCGTTTTTTTTTCTCCTCATAGAAAAAAGAATGACTCGAATTCGAATATGTAGCGAACGTAATATTTTCAGGCAAACCAAATCGAACATTTGTGATAGCAAATTATGTTCATCGAGGGTAGCAAGTTTAGTTGGCGAGGTTGGCAAATATGTCTTAGTTTATTTTCTTTTAGAAGAATTGCATGACTGCAAACTAAATGTGCCATCATCACACAAATATAAATTGCCATAAAAAAGGTCAGAGTTATCATGTCTAGGGCACATCTAGATGTGCTCTAGTTATTGCACATCTAAGTGACTCAATCAAGCATAGAAAGAAAAAGAAAAGTAAAAAAAAAAGTACCCACACGAATTTCCATGTAAGATCAATGATTTAGGACTCTACTGCTGTTGGATGCCCGAACTGATACCCTTCCGATCTAGTGTCCGCGCCCTGCATGCCCACTCGTTATTTCCCGCAACAAACGGGCAGTTGCGGAAACAACACTATGGTCCCCGGCCTCGACAAAGTTGCACCCCGCACGGCGCCGCCGCCAACCCACCGCAAAATCAACCCGCCACCGGCATGCAGGAACTACATTGAAGTTTCTGCAATAGTATGGTGTCTGCAACACTATGGTGCACCATATCGCGTCTCAGATGGTTGGATCTGACACAAATCAAGCTCACCGAGGGAGCATGCTTCGAGAACAGCCGCGGACTCTACTCTAGCATGACGGCCACAAGCTCCCACGTCTCCTTTGACGATTTCTGCAACTGAAGCTATGTTTCTGAAACATGCGTCGTGTTGCAATACTTGGCCTCGTATGCTCTAACACCGTGTGCTCCTCCAACGCTTTCTGCAACCGGGGCTATGTTCTGAAGCAAGACCCATGTTGCAGGAAAAAAAACTTCGCTGCCAAACCATTTTTTTCTGAAACAAGACTTGTGTTGCAGAAACTTTATAAAACTAGACCCTGTTGCTGAAAAAACCTTCACCATCGAATCGTCTTTTTATTTCTGAAACAAGATATTTGTTGCAGAAATCGCCGATCTCTGACTCGTACCTGCTTGAGTCGTCGCCGGCCATCGCCGATCCCGAGCAAGTTGTCGTCGCCACCAGGGTGGATAAGGCCTGGTGGCCCAACGCCTTGCGCCGTCGTGCCCGTCCGCCAGCTCCCAAATCCAGCCGCTCGCCGACTAATTCAGACGAGCCTCGAAACTCCCCTACTGTTACCCAGTTGCAGGAATGACTGTCTTGAAATAACAGGTGAGTTGCAGGAAAACAGATGCGGCTTCCAGACGAGCCCCGGAACCCCCCTATTGTTACCCAGTTGCATGAATGACAGACTTGAAACAACAGATGAGTTGCAGGAAAACAGACGTGGCTTCGGCGGACGCGGGGAAGCTCTTGACCGTTTGATCAACACACGATCAAACGGCTACGGAGCCGGCGGACGGGCGCGTGCGATCGGCCGGTAGAAGGTAAGCTTTTTCCGAAGAGAAATCACAATTTATCATCTTTCTCACCCGTCAAACTAATTTTTATTTTTAAAAATTCTAATAACACAAATTATGCAGCAAAACGTGCCCGACGCTCCTTCTAGTCTAGTATCAACATGAATCGCAAACATTTTGAACGGGTCAAGGAATCTGTCTTGGATCGGCAGGAGCCGTACGTATCTCTCCTGCCAAACTGATAGTTCGTCACACCCAAAGCACATATAGCAACGAGTGTGTTGCGTCCTGGGCTGGAGCTACTTGCCGATGTTCTGGTACGTGTACAGCTTGGCGCACGTAAGGAAGTATCCGAAGTTGACGGCGACGAGCACGGCGAGCAGCCAGTAGAGGTTCTCCAGCTTGGAGGCGTTCATGTTGTCCGGCAGCCACGTGGTGGCGCGCTGGACGATGTTGATGAGGGCCGTGCTCAGGTAGAACCCGAGCGCCACGATCATCGCCATCATGCCCGTGGCCGTGTTCTTGAGCGACGGCGGGAACTCCTGGTAGTACAGCGTCACCTGCGCCGGGAAATACAGCGCCTCGCCGGCCCCGGCCACGGCGAACGGCAGGAGCAGCCACATCGCCGACAGCGGCGACACCCACGCCGGGTTGCCCTCCTCCCCGTGCGCGCGCACCGTGGCGGTGCGGTGGTGTTCGATGATGGCGGACGCGGCCATGCTCAGCACGGTGAGCGCGTGGCCCACGCCCACGCACTGCAGCGGCGTCGGCGTGTGGCCGGTGAGCCGCCTCCAGAGCGGGAGCAGGACCCGGTCGAGGAGCCCGAGGAATATGACCACGGCTACGAGGCTGGCGACGAACATGGAGCCCGCCGGCACGGTGAAGCGGCCGACGGCGCGGTCCATGGCGAGCGCCTGCAGGATGGTGAAGTTGATCTGCACGCCGATGGCGACGCTCAGCACGATGGCCGCGCTCCAGAGCGGCATGATGCGCAGCACCGTCTTGAAGTCCTCCACCTGCTGCACCGTGCAGACGCGCCACGGACGGAGCACCGAGCCGCTCGCGCCGTCCACGTCGCCGTCCGTGATCACCGCGGCACGGTTCAGGAAGCTGCACGCGATCGAGCAAACGTGGAAATAAGTGCATGTCATTGTCGTCGATCACTTCTCATATATATCAGGCAGTAGTGATGTTTACAGGAGTGCCATTTGTGTTCGTTACAATTTGTCGTTCCACCCATCTTAATATGATTCTCTCTTGTGTTTTGCACAAATTAATCGCTACCATAGTACCATTTGTCGTTAGCCATGTCGAGACTAATTTGCTCAGCCAACTAAACAATATATTTTGCGTCATACTTAACTTTATGGATGAGACTAATTTTCCCAGCTAAAATTTCAAGACACTAACATATTGCTTGTATAAAATTATGGATTAAAAAAAGTTTGCTACGCTGAGGCGGAGGACCAGATGTGACATAGAGCTATGTTCATGACACTCCGTCTATGGATGTAGGAGGAACAAGTCTTCGACACCCCACAGACTTGAATGTAATTTTATTTTTCTGTATATGTGTGTTTGTAAGGACATGCGGAACTTAATATGTGACCTCAGGCCTTTCCTCCCCCAAAAAAAACATGTGTTAATATGTCCTTAACTATATACCTATATATTATGTCGCAAAATACAAACACCTACATAGTAGCTAGTAATAGTTTTTTCCAACATGCAAACTAGTCTAATATACTTGAATAGTTGACCCTTACTACTCTCTCCGTTGGGGCGGAGGGAGTATATGTTAATTTTACCAAAAAGTTGGATAATCAAAGCTGGTAGGTGGCATTGCCACCGGTGGTTTAAATACTGAAAAAGAAGTAGAATAAATATCCAAAAAGGAGTTTTTTTTTTGCGGAAAAAAAGAGTCGTTTTGGACATGGACGTATTCGAAACTCAACTCAACCATTGATGTACACTGTTATAAACCGACAAAATCTAGTAAAATTATAATGTTAATATGGGGACAAATTTATACTTACCATTTCAATGTGTTCACCAATTTCGATATCCATGATAAGCATGCTAAAAGTTTATCTAATTGTAAAGCCAATATTTTCCTTCAGTCTCCACACACACACACACACACACACACACACACACAAAACAAACTAGGAAAGCACTATATTTTGTGTAGCACAACCGTGAGGTAATATGTCCATGTCATTGCTTTAATAATCACCGATAATACTGATTATAGTGTGGAGGTGGGAGTTAAGTTGCCATGGACAGGAAAACAACCCTTGCCACATACTCCTGCATACCCAACAGTGACCAAGTACTATCTTTATTAACTATGGAACGAAATTTAATTATGCTCAAAACACAAAATGTATATACTTAATGCATGTGCAATTCAAACTAGAATATCATATAGATTGTAATGTCTCGTTTTCAAAAGCCCTAAGGTGAGTGGGTACAAATGGAAATAAACTACAAACATGCAAATTGCAGCGAAAGAATATCTCCATTCTCAATGAGCACAAAAGAAAGGAAGAGAAGCTAATAGTCTAATATAAAAAGTGAATAATAGTGCTCACCGCTTTGCACAATTACCTGTTTGTTGTCGCAGATCTACTGAGTATTTTGCCTGGGTGAGACCAAAGGAAGAGCATGGATTTTCTATCCATATGATCCAGCTTTAGCATAAAGCCCACTGGTTTGGTACAAAGTTGGGCGCGCGCACACACAAGTATGTTGCGATGGAAAAACGAAAATGAAAACATGTCAAGATCAGTATGGTCCTGTGCTAAAAGCACTTTTTTGCGTTGCCCTGTATACTTCCGTATGTTGTTTTCTTGTAGTACAAGGGTATTTATACCAAGGAACCTAATTGATTTTTAGCACAATGTTATATGACCAGACAGAAAGGAACCTAACTATTTCAACAAACATTAATTGATATGTGTCGACGTGGTAGCTACCTAGTTCACGTAGTACTACAAACCAAAGCGTTTTGGAGTGAAGATAATTCGGTGTTCTGTAGTACGCGGTTTCTGTGATAATTGTGTTTCAATCAAAATATTTTAGCCATTATGGTTGTACTACACATAAATAAATGGATTTGCTGATTCTCAACTAGATGAGAATTAATAAAGTCTCATCTAACTCCTACAATACTCGATTAACCAAACAAAAAACAAAAGAAAAAATCCCAACGAATCTCGCGTAAAATCGAATGGTGAAGAAGTTAGATGAGACATAGTTATTTCTCATCTACATGTGACCTAGACACACCCATAAATAAATTATTATGATTTTTTAAGACTCAGAATAATTGGTTGGAGTCAATTAAATTTATGTGAATATTTTGGACTTTGATCTAGAAATAACTGAAAGTTAAATGATTTTGTTGTTGCTGAAATATTAGTGAAACCAAAATTCAAAACCATGGGTATACTACAAAAGCACTTCCTAACAAAAGAAAATCAACTTAAAATAAATAAATCATTATTTACTTCCACATTCCCTGCCATTTTAAAGGGTTTAAGCTTAAGCATTTATAAAGTTCGTTTATGCATGTGGAACCAAACTAGCACTCCCCCGTTTCGGAATAATTAAAGTTTTAAGATTTTTCTAAGCGAAACCTTTGTAAATTTGAATAAGACCGTAAAAAAATCCGCAAGGACCTACAATGTCAAATATATATAATACAAAAATATATTTCATAATGAATCTATTGAAGTAAATTTTATTTTATAGATTTCTACTCTTATAAAAGATTCAGTTGGTGATGATGGTGTGTCTGCCGTCCGTTATTTCTGACCATCAGATCTACATCTAACGACTATGAGGCAAGTCATGGCATTTTTGCAACAATATCCCACTTCTTTGCCCCAATTTAAAGGAAACCCCTTAATATCTTAAAACTAACCATATTCCTCATCAAAACCAACCATATACCTCATCAAAATAACCCAAGGAATATATTTTGAGTGAAATATGATATATTTTTAATGGTATATGTATACTAAAAATAGATTGTTTCTTTCAAATTTGTGAATATATATTATTCTATTTTGGATCCGTTGAAACGCACGTGCACATTGCTAATATTGATATATTTTTATATAGACTTGGTCAAACATAATGAAGTTTGACCTAGAACAAGTCTAGAACTTCAACTATTTTGGAAACGGAGGTGATATAAACAAAGAGTCTTGCTAAGTCCCAGTCGACTCAAACTTCATTAAATCTCAGTCGATACTATAACGGTGAGATCTTATACCGAGATCCGTGCAAAAAAAAAATCAGTTTTTTTCCTCTATTGCATGTTACGTCTCTTGACCAAGACTTGATTAAATCCTAAAACGAAGACTTGATTAAATCTCAGTGGATTGAGACCTAACCACACCCATAAACAAATGCATACGAAATCTTTTCTTACCTAAAGCTGTCGCTCGGGGTAACGACACCGTCGCCGCCAGTCTTGACGTCTTCGTCGCCCCTACATAGCCCGTAGTAAAACTTCAACTCCTCCGACGCCACGACACTGACCTTCCTCTTCCTCGCCGCGGCGACGACCACCCTGGCGAGCCCCGTGAACGGGCTGCCCTGAGCGGGGGGCTGCCGGTAGTACCGCGCGCCGAGGAGCAGCGCCGTGAGGCCGACGACGCTGGCGGCGCACGAGACGCCGAAGCCGAGCGTCCACGACACCGTGTCCTGGAGGTAGACGATGACCGTAGCGCCGAGCACGGTGGACGCGTAGAAGAAGATGAAGTACCAGTTGAAGAAGACGTCGCGGTCGGCGGCGGCCTCGAACTGGTTGGCGCCCATGGTCGCCTGGTTGAACCGCGCCCCCGCCGCGCTCAGGCAGAGCAGGAACACGGCCGCGTACAGGGCCGCCATCTGCCCCGTCGACGCCTGCTCGCACGGGCCGGCGCCGAGCTGGCATGCCGCCGGCCGGAGTCCGGGAAGACTCGCCGTCAGCGTGAACATGACCAAGGACTGCACGCGCGACATGGAGTGGTCAGTGGAGCAGAAGCTTTGGTAATGAACATACATGTGCACGCGCGCGCAGATCATAAACTTACGAGGACGGCCATGACCATGGCGACCGCGACGATGGGGAAGCAGCCGAAGAAGGCGTCGGCGACAATGGCGCCGGCCACGGGGGCGACGCTGATGGATCCGGAGATGATGTTGGAGATCTGCGCCGCGTCGACGCTCGCCACGTTGTACTCCTTTATCAGGTAGACCACCAGGTTGGACGTGGCGCCGCCGGTCGCCAGCCCGAGGCCTAGTATGGCCACTGCAAACATCGATTGATCACACGGCCAGACACAGACTTAATTGTGATCATGCTCCACAGACTAGAGCACACACGAGTAGGATGCACGAACCTGCGAGGAAAGGGAAGGTGATCCATCCCCCCTTCTTGTTCCTGGGTTCCTTGAGGGGCTCGTGATCAACGCTGAGGTGCCCAGCCTCCTCCTGCTGCGACCCGTTGGCCTCCATGGGTATGGTCTCTCTTGCTGCAATGATTGAGCTACGAGCGCAGGCGTAAGTCATGAGTATGTGCAGCGTAAAACTAGGTGGCATGGCATATGTGCAGCGTAAAACTAGGTGGCATGGCTATTATATCATACAGTATATATTGTCGCACTATCTCTAGCAAAGACCGGTAGACGGTGGAGTTGGCCAGCTATCTCTTTTGATACGAGGGGAAAAAAAGAGGCACGAGAGCACGCTAAAGCTCCATGTCTGACTTGTCTACGTACAGTCCGTCAGTGACTCAGTGTCAAGTGAGCCCGCTTTTCAAATAGATTAACAATTGGATGGTGGTATATAATCTGATGAGCTTTAGATTCATTCATGTGCTTTTCGCAAAAAAAAAAAAGAGCAATTCGAAAATACAGACTTTCAATATATACACCGTTTTGCTAAAGCACATTTAGCTGTGCCATAAGTATTGCACATGTAAGTCTTAAGTCATTGATCTTACGCGGAGGTTCGTGTGGATATTTTCCTTTTTGCTTTACCTTCTTATGCTTGATTGAGTGACTTAGATGTACAATAACTACTAGGGCATATCTAGATATGTCCTAGACAAACTCTTTTCTTTTTTTATAATCGGTGTTTCGATGGGCTTTGTTGGGATGTGATTCTGTGTTATTTACTAATCCACACACACTTATGTGATGAAGTGTTTTATAGCCGCATGTGCTATATCAATGGTACAATGTTGCATGTTAGCGCTTCTCTTTCTTATTTTTGAACATAGTACAGACATAAACGCTCATATATATGCACATACACTCACCCTGAGACTGAGCCGACATATCATCTTAAGATTTTATGAAGTCATCGTAGCCACTTCGTAGTCCTTACACACGTCCATCTTACTCCTATGAGCATCTTCGAGATACTGAGTTGATACAACATCTTGAGATTGACAAAGTTGTCACAGACGTCTTTGTAGTCGACGAGACGTCTTCTTCAACTAAACAAAGAACGCCAGAAGGTCTGACATAAATCTAAAAAACGACCATCAATATCAAGTCTAGCACTTGAAGCCTAATGGGTTTGTTTCAATACAAGGACCTAAGAGCATCTACAGCCGGGCGCCCCAAACCCACCTCATACGGCCAGGCGGGCCACCCGGTCACGATTTTTCGACCTAGACGGCGCCCTCAAACGGGCCAAAAACGTCCGGGCTGACCGGCACCCCTCATATCCAGTCCAAATATGAGACGAATATGGAGGCGCACGGGCACGCCCGCCACGTCGGACTGACGGTGGGGTCCCACGCGGAAACGCCCAAAAACCCGGCGGTCCGAAGCTCGTATCCTCCATCGGACCGGTGTCGCCACGTGGCGCCACTCCGGCGGGTCGCGTAGTGCCTAGCCCGGCTATTTAAGCCGACCAATGACACTGAAACCCTACCATACCTATTTTCCTCCCCCTGTCTGCCGCCGCCACCACTTTCCACTCCCCCCATCCGCCTAGTAGGAGCGAGCCATTTCTAACGCCGAAGCGCCGGCTCGAGCTCCCTGAGCATATCCGGGCAAGGCGCGAAGCCTGGATCGCCGTGGGGCTACCTCCGGATGCAGTGGATTCAGAGGAGGAGTTGGAGGAGGAGGTGGAGGAGGAGGATGTGGGGGACGATGGCGACGCGGATCTGCAGGCGGAGCAGCAGGCCATCCTAGATTCCCTCCGCCCGGAGTCGGCTGCGGAGGCCAGATGCCATCGTCGGCAGCAGATGGAGGCGCAAAAGGCCGCGGAGGAGGCGGAAATGCTCGTCTACATGGATGAGGTCGAGTAGGAGGAGGATGAGCCGGAGCCCTCCTACCCGCCGCTCCAGCCGGCGCCCGGCACCGTCGTCGTGGACATCTCCGGTGACGAAGATTTCTTGTGCATGTAGTATGTAGTACATTGGATTTCTTTTGCATGCTTTGTATGAATTTAGGGATCGACATATGAAAGACTCAGATGCACAGTGGCTAATTTATGACGTGACTAGTCACTGCCCGCGGACGCGTCCAGTCGCGTCTGCGGGTGTTTGAGGAGCTGAATTTGCAAAGTCCGGCTGTAGATGCTCTAACTATCGGAGCGACCCTCAATTCTTTAGTTACACTGTCACATCAGTGCAGTGGTAAAGAGTGGTGGAGTATTGGGACCGACCTCAATAATCGTACGTACTACATGTATTGGTCGTAGACGATCAATTCCTCGTAGAGAAAAACTTCGTTGTCAAATGTGTGGTGTGGTGTCATATGTTGCTAATTAATAAGCTCCACTAACGATGGATGGTACTGGTGGGAACGCGCGGATGACTGAATGATTGAGCAATAAGCATTGGAGTAATGGCTTACATATCACTCAGATAACTTTGCCAGCAATGTGGAAAGCAGGATATATGCAGCTCACCAGTCAGAGACGTGCATGCGGCCGTATGGGTATGTTGGGATATGTTCTCCACCAAGCAGGTACCTCACACAATTTTGATTTGTCAAAGCAAGAGCTTTATGTAAGAGTGGAAGCCCCAAAAGGTGAGTTAGAGATTTGTCTAGTAGGAGATGATAGCCTTTTGCCCTTGAGATGAAAAATTCACCCTGTGATTATATTGTTGCGACGTGCCAGTGTGCCACCATAGCACGTACTTCCTCCAATTCAAAATAAGTGTGATGGTTTTAGTTCAAGTGTCGGAGGAAGTACAAAAGTTGATGGCACCCCTGTCAACTGTCTTGGCCATGCAGTTCAGACTGCAGACCGAATGTAACCATTGATGCAGTGGGGGCATTTGGATTGTTCTTTTCGTTCGAAGGAAATCAAGCAAATTCTTCCTTTAATTTATGCTATAGGGTCTTATTGTCTACGTCCCCTAGTTTGATTTTCATCTTGCACACAACCATTACGAGCAATAGACTCATGTATACATTCTCTTGTCATAGGATTTTTCATCGTGCTCTGAAGAAAAGGACTGGCCTAGGATGTGGCGACACATCCTAGTCTTAGTATGGGACTAGCAGGCGGAAGGCGCGGCAGCACGCCGCGCTGGTGCCTCATCTCGCGTATGCATGTATGTTGTTTCTTATTTTAAGATGAGAAAATAAATGTCAATGGGTTTGAGGTCGAGTTGGCTGTAATGATTTAAAAGAGGAAGCCTTTTTATACATACTGTAATCCTTTGATCACCGTGCACCATTTAGATTTGACTGCAGAAGATCAACTGTGAAGCAATATATGCCAGACCACTCGGATAGGGAGCTTCTCCTTTATTTGCATATTTGAATGCTTGTATGGCTTCCAAGTGATCAGCAAAAGAGAGAACCACATTTTCCTCGCTTATCTCGGCAAACTTGTATAATTTGTAAGTTGACATTATCTGGTATCTCCACTACAACATTCAACAAATGGGATTCCAAAGAATCAAGCACCTGGACATAATACTTGTTAAACATTCAAATAAAATTATAGAAATTGAATTACCACGGGATCTAGAATATGACATCAAAAATATGGTCTAAGAAATCATCCATGGACACCACCGAAGAAGACATATTTTAGGAACGGAAACAAATCAATAATCAGGAGCTCTACCACTTTATCTATATGAAGGAGAGACACTCAATTCGATTCTCACTATTTCGCCCAATCCTACTCTACCTTGATGTACACCGTTGCTCCTAATGATTGAACTAATTAACAACAGAGTTCTTCGACTACCGGATCTTTTTTAGTCTGCTTATATTTTTTTGTTGAAAGTATTGTTCGTGGTACTATTCATATGAGTCACTATTCATACATCTGCAATTGTTAAATACAATTACTGGTCATCCAAAGTACTGCTTATACAAATTTACTATTCACCTAAGATACCACTCATATACGATCACTATTTGTGAACCAGCCTATGGTTGGATCGTTAGAAGGACAGTGGTATCCCCTGTCCACCAGAGTTCAAGTACCAGACTTGACATTGGTGCTCGCATTTTCTTGAATTTATTTCAAGCTTTCTGGCGATGCGCAGTGGGAGGAGACGTTCCCGTCGACTATGAAGGTGTCTGTGGCGACTTTGTCAATCTGAAGATTATGTGCCTGAAGTCTCTCGAACATGCTCATGGGGGGTACGGTGTGCATGCGTGCGCTCATAGGGGTGATTGTATGCTCGTGTATGTGAGCGACTTCGATTGTACTGTTTTCAAGAAAACAATATATGATCACTATTTATTCCGGTGCACTTTTCAATTATGCGACTTGTACGAAGGCATCTGTGGCGACTTTGTCAATCTTAAGATGATGTGCCGGATCAGTCGCTCGGAGATGCTTATAGGGATAGGTTATGCGTGTGTTCATAGGAGTGATTTTATGCTCATGTATACGAGCAACTTCGATTGTACTACACTAAAATAAATATATGGTCAATATTTATTTCAGTGCGGTGTTCAATTGTACCACGTGTCGTCCCATGAAGATTCCCCCGCTACAACGGCCGATGCACCTGGTGCGTCCTAGCTTAGTAGCTTTATATATTGTACATAGATGTGACATCTTCTCCCTTTTATGCATGGATGTAAGAAAACACCAATGTGATCAAAAGCATTATATCACAAGGATTCTTTTTTATTGAAATGAATATATTATCTTTCCATCCGCTAACTAACCCGAGTGTCAACCTTCTTTCATCGAGTAACCTTGCAACGGGATATTTGAAACTACTCCCTGCGTCCCAAAATAGGTGCCGTGATTTGAACTAAAGCCACAACATTTATTTTGGGACGGAGGGAATAGTAGCTAAGTTGAGATATTTTTGCAAGTTTCTTTTTTTTAGTAGGGGCAACATACACTTGGTTGTCAGATTATAGAAATTTAGTTACCAAGGTATTGAACATGGAGCTACTGCCGGGCTCGCCAATGTCTCGCTTATAGCAAGACGTAGGCAGCCTCACATCAAGAAGATCCGTAGTTCGCCAGCCCAGCGCAGCAGCAACGCTGCGTCCTAGCCATAAACGGTACAAAGCGAAACTGCTGCTATCTCTCCATAGCAGTTGTCAAGTTTTTCTTCCCACCCATCTCTGCCAATGAGCCCGTGGTCGCGC